AGCGCATACCTCTGCCAAGGCTCAACAGGCCCCTTAAAGCAGCACCACATTGCACACACGCATAGATATCAGTTCCTTAAATGTGTCAGATCTTCTTTCAACAAGATCTATTCTCTGGGAAAATTGTTAAATTGTTGAAACACTCTCAATTTTTTATTTTATTAGATCTGCCCCATGATCTGGATCTGCACTAAAATGTAATTTGTTCTTTGCTAACCCATAACACATCCTTCCACCAAGTTGAGTGAACTCATTTTTGTGTAATCTCGCTCACAAACAAACATAAAAACCAAACAACTAACAAACGCATCTCTTTCTCTGTCAGAATCCCCGATTTAACTTTTTGAGTCTTTTCATTACAACACATTTTGTGTTTTTAATTTATAGAAGCATTTGGTTCGATTATATTTATTTCACATCTTCCATGTAGAGATGCAGTTTAACTTCCAACAAACACACCAGGTAGGAAGATGGCAGTTGTGTACATTTCTTCTCAAATGCATGTTAGCATTGACCCTGGACAATGACAGAAATCTCAGTCATCCCTTCTGACTGGAATAAAATCTCCTCTTCATGAAATAACATGTACAACATGTTCACCGGAACGAGGACAAGTCTCCAGCACTCTCCGATCATGTATTTGATGGATACTCCACGCCTTTATGACAGATGATTCTTAGGCAACCCAGGAAGAGAAATCCAGCAACAAGTCGATAAATTGTGTCTTTCTCAAGCATTCATGCAAGAAGTACAGCAATCAATAGACACCTCTAGAGCATGCTTCCACAAATTCAGACCATGTTTACTTACGGGAGATATGCGCATTGGGATAAGATCTGAAAAACTGGCTACTGTAATACAACGACTACAAGGACCAACAAGTGGTTTATACAGTTCATAGTATATTAGTAAAACTTCACTGCTCTCTTCCTCCTTCTTGTTGTGTGTCTGTGCCCTTCCCCCAGGCTGATCATTGGTAACCATGTAGAGAGTTCATGTAGGAAAGGCCAAGGAGGCTACGGAGACATTGTACCCAAGGAGGGCTGACATCTAAACACAGATGAAGGCCTGAGGCTGTTTCCTCACCTTCAGTCACACACTATTACTGCTCTCACTGGCTAAATGCAGCCACGGGCAGATGTGTGTCTGGGTCAAGATTTTTTAGACGTCTCTTTTAAAAAAAAAGAAAAGTGTCCAACACACAGGCAAGATGGAGGCAGTGGTGATTATGTTTCCTCTTCACACTGTATTTCCCCTTTTCTGATGTGTTGATATATAAAGTCTTCCCTGGGGACAGTTTGAGTCTCTTACGGCCACTCTGCCGTTTTGTGATGCATTCGCTCCTGATAGTCATTCGCTTTTATTTTGCAAAGGATTTCAGTTTCGGTAGCTTTAGGTTAACGACATCAGTGTCGATAAGTCAGATGTTTGTAATCTTACCGTACTCGTAATCATACACCTGATTAGTCCAACACAATAAAACATGTACTTTCTGGCATGGTGTATCTTGTTGTATGTATTTTGAGCATATGTTTTTTGCATTAATAAGTGGAGGTCAACCATTGACAGTCCTAATGATGCTGACGAGGTCGCTGCTTTTAGCTCACCCCAGGTGTTTACGCTGCATAATGCTTTATTTAGCCTCCTTTAACTGGTTCGTCAGCAATGAGCCGGGGATGGGCCGACTGCTGTATATGGGTGTCATGCTCACAGGCCTGTTGGAGCAAGACCCCGGTGTGAGATGAGTCTCAAGTTAGCAGGGCCACAACAGTTTGGAGAAGGGCGTTGAGTGTTGGCAGAGAGCACCGAGGTGAGAGGATCCAGAGGCGCGGAAGGGGAAGGGGCCTCGTGCTGGTGCCCCCAGACAGTGTGTGCGGTGCGGAGGCAGGGCCCTGACTCACTGGTGCATGGTTAACGCTGAAGAGAGTATCCCGCGGCTAAGCTGCACTTAACAGCACATTGATTTCAAACCCCCGTGTTCCCTCTGGAGGGCAGTGGGTCGTACCTCAACAGGCCGGACCCCTCCCTCTTACTTCCCCCTTTCCCACTCACCCCTTCTGACCACCGCCACCATTTACCATCTCTACAAGCTTCCCCCTCCCACTATCTGCCCACCCCTGCGTCGATTTGGGTACACCATGCTGGTCACTGGCCTCCTCTCCCCCTTCCTCGGAGCGTCCCAGAGGAGTTGAACAGGATTCAGGGGCACTAAGGCTCCCACAAGACCCTGGTCTTGAGAGCGATGTTTGGGGTAGGGCATGCAGAGGCAGCCAGGTGGAAAAGATCTGTGGTCAAAATCAATGCATTGGCACTTTGAGGGAGCACTGCAACAGATTTGGGAATTTCACATTCTCCTCATTCTCTCCTGGTACTGTCAGAAGGCCTCACCACTGGAGAAAAAACAACATCCACTAAATCCTCTGGGAAAAGGGAACTCTCAACTTGGACGGCTTCTGGGACAAAACCCCACAAGTCAATATTCATTTGGTGGCTTGTGTCTAACATGTTAAACTCTCCAATTTGTCGCTTCTTGCTGCTCATGGCTGAATAAAAATCTGCTTTTTTGACTGGATGTCCATTTGACATTAAGAGACAAGTAATCCTACCACAGCAAGTTTAGTGCAATTACTCCGCCACCAATTCCCCTCTCTGAACCTTCGAAAGAGAAAACTTTTTTCTCATCACCACCACACCTTGGAGTCTCTTTATGTGAATCCCAGCACAGGCGGATGCCAGTGTGGTGCTTTTTCCACTTGTCTAACTTCTGACTCATCTCCCAGCTGCATTATGTAGATGCATGTTTAAGGAGCGATACACAGCACACGTCTTTGTGCGCTAATGGGCTCTCAGCATCTTTAAGACTCAGGGTACAATTAAGAGGTGATAGTTTGATCTCCCACCTCGCAGTTCTATTTCTGAGCCGCCGTGTGATTATGCCGGAGGTTGCTAGGGGGGGTGAGGAACAGGCTCTATTTAAAGGAAGACACACCTCTGCAAGAAACAGACTTCTTCTGCAGTTTACACCTGTCTGATTTCTATTCCGACTGTATTGTTTTCTGCTGCAGTTAAGTTTGGGACTTTTGATGATGCATGAATTCACATGATGGAGGGCGATGTCTAAAACTGTGGCATACGTTAGCTTCTTATTGTCCATGAACATTTATGGAACAGAGGTGATGGCTCAAATGGCTTCTTGGCCTGCCTCATTTCAGGTAATTGCTAAAACTCATATTAATCTATAAGGTTCCATCCACCACATATAATTTTAATGGTTTAAAGCTGACTTCATTTGATTAATAACATGTAATTACGTATAAAAGAGGAAGTATTGCTTCTAAAAAAGTGAATTAATTACAGCATGTTGATTTGTTAAAGCCAACTTCCATGAGTGGAGAGAATTGGTTAGTACAGCACTGCCATCTGCTGGTGTAAATTGAACATTGCACAGTGGTCATGGAATTGGGGGTGAGGAGAGATGGTTTTATGGAAGGTTCGAGTTCAGGGGACTTTATTAGTATCTGCAGGTAACTGTGGTGTAGTAACAATAGAGGAAGGGCATCACACCAACACCAGAGACATGACAGACAACAAGCACTTCAAGGGCTAAACTATAGTCAGGACTCTGCAAAACAAAAACAAGAGATACAAGGCAAATCATTAGACTTTCCATGAGCTGTAAGTTGCCAGGACTTATTGAGATAGACAACTGCAGCTGGAACAAAGCTTTTCCTGTAGTGCTTTTATAGTTCACACAAAAATGAAAATTCACTCATTGGAGGGGTGGGTGAAGCGTTTGAGTTTCAAGGGTAAACAGCGTGAAGTGAAGTAACTGGTGACCAGTTCTTCAAACGTATACAAACAACTTAAAAAATAAAATAAAATGCCTTCATACTGCTCCTGTGGTGTCATCCATAATAAAATAAAGTCATCATGGTTTTTCCAATATGGAAGAAGGACCAGCTTCCTGAGGCAGAACAGAAGAAGATGGGTGATGCACCTGTGGTAACAGGATGGTAATTTCAGGTTTGTGCAAATATTCTTTCTTGCTGTTATCTTTATGTGGCTCATAAACCCACATGATATATCGTGAATGAAACAGTAGTGATGATTTCAAAACCAAAGTTTGAGTCAGTGTTTTATTGTATATATACAATAAAACATATAGGAAATCATGTGTGTTCCTTACAAATGATAAGAATGAGGAGAATTGTGTCCCTATAAACAAATTAAGATAGCTTACATTTAGTTTGTTAATTAACTGCCAATTCCTTTGGGAACGGGGCGGATTCAGATCCAGTGTTATTGAATAATAATGGTGAATATATGGTTCATATTTCCATCACAGACTTTATGGGGCTATAATGTATATTCTGTAGCACCATATAATATATGGCAGCATTGATTATTTACACATCTTGGGATTTATCGTGGCATCAATGGGGATCTCTTTTAAACGTTGGTTGAAGCATGTTAAAGATAATTGATCAAACATTTGCTGTTTTATAATTTAAGTTAAATTTACACTGTCTCTGTACTTTAAAATAAATGTCTGCGCACTTTAATGTTTGTTAATGCTTCTGATATGTAGTATTATGATTCTTCTATTTCTTTAAAAAGCACACTGAGTGACCTCTGTGTTCATAAGATAAGATGAGACTAGATACAATAAGAAAAGATAAGATAAAATAGGATAATCCTTTATTGGTCCCACAATGGGGGGCTTTGCAATATCACAGCAGCAAGAGTCAAAAATAACCATCAGTAATAATAAGTAACATGACATACTTAGGTGTAAGGATAATAATACTTCAGTGTAAGGAAACATGGAAAAATTATATATGCAGTGTAAAAAGAAGAAACATATGTGCAGTGTGAGAATATGTACAGTGGATGTATTGCACAGACAGAATGAATGTTGCACAGTTAAGTTTTAATAATAAATGTAATCATAATAAATGTGATCATATTAAATGTGATGATAATAAATGTAATAATAATAAATGAGCCTCATCTTGACTGAAATGTTTCTTTAAAAAAAATCACAACACAAAAGACCCGCTCGGACTTTGAGGCGATGAAGGCACATGTCCCGCCTCCAACACTACGTAGTGTCATTTGATTGGCTGAGAACGCCGGGTACTGAAAGCGTATTGACTCTCCGTCGCTGTCAATCTCTGTGGAGGCGTGTCCTCAGCGCCGGGAAGCAGCCAGTCGCCTCAGCCCGGACAAGTGTCACCGGCCCCGGGGCTCACACACGCTCATCCACCGGTGAAGAAGGAGAAAACAGAGCCGACGGCAGGAAGCGGACGGGCGGCGGGTGAAATGGACGAACCCTCGGAACAAATGAGACCCCTCCTGAGAACAGTAAGTCCCCGCCCAGCACGGCACAACCGCTGGTCCACCGTCACGCTAGCACGGCTCTTTGTCCCTTGTTTGCCGCAAGCAGCCGCTGAAGTGCGAGGGATGCCGGGGAGGCAGAGCCCCGGTGTGGCTGCTATTGTTAGCCGGCTTTCTCCCTCCGACACGTGGCAGGGACACAAAGTTGCGTTCGGGTCTCTTGTTGAAGTCGGTGACGGGGTTGACTCACAGCGTCTGTTCGCTCAGTCCTCAGTCTGCTCGTTAGCTCGGGTGGTTTTTCGAGGAAGTAATAGTTGATGAATTAGCCGCTCGCGAGCCTGTTCCCTGAAGTTTGAAACCCTATTTACCGACGTTGACTTAAACAAACGTTCCCTACAGGGTTCGTCCAAGCACTTAAATACACTTCCAAGTAGTTTGAATACGTCTGTGTGCTATTGATTAACGGGACCGTTACTTGAATGTGTTTTCATCAACAGGTTCAGCCCCTCCACAGTGTGTCCGAGCTGCTCACACGATGAGATCTGCAGACACGTTTACTCACAATAATAAAAAAGTCTCATTTCAATATCAAGTGTTCCCAGAATAGCTCCTCTTCCATGTCTGACATTTGAGGAAAATGCAGCTGATGTGACTGTGAAAGCTGCAGAGGAAACAAGCGCATGAAGGATATGCTGCACAAGTAAATGTGTTTTTTAAGCTTTAAGTTATATTGTGTGAATGCTCTTTCATGAAATACTTGAATTCTAGTTTTGATAAAGTACTAAATAAAAAAAATAAATAGATGCATTTATGTGTTGAACATGGCTCAGAACGCCACCTTGTGTTTCAAATCGTCTTGGACCATTTATTTAAATCATCAACCAAACAAAACAATTTAAAAGCAAAATCTTGAATGAAAAGGAGCAGAGAGAAGAAGAATTATAGATAATGTGCCGCTCTTTCACAAGACGTTAATAAACTAACAAATAACATCAAAAGTAGCTGCAGGCCAACACAGCCCCTCACGTCCCTCTATTAGTTCCTAAGTTACATTTAATTTAATGCCGTTTCCCATCCTCTCCTGTGGTCTCTCACACACATCATTTGAACTGCTGGCTGACACAGCTGCCTGTGTCGGCGGTTCAAACTCCTGTGGACGGCCATGGTCTTGGCTGTGCTGTTTCTGGAGTTGTCGCTCATAGCAGGACCACCTCGATAACACAGGCGAGGCCCCTCAGCTCAAACTCAGAGGTGAAATACGCTTTAAGTAAATGAGAGAGAAAACATTCTCTCAGTACAGGAGCCGTGAGGTGCAGTGACGTCTACCAGACTCTGGTGTGTGAGTCGTTTATGAGAAACCCACTTCCTGTCTGCTGGGTCTGGGTGTTACTTTACAGTCACAGATGGGATGATGGTGAGCATCAAACACTCAGGCGTGTGTACAACCCCAAAAAAGAAACTGGTGGCTGAGCTAAGTTTAAAAAGGCAGACAGACTTTCTGACATCAATGCTGGTGTAAGGTTGTCTACTACTGTGTTTGTATGCCTAGGTATGTGCTGTATGTGTGTGCATGCAACATGTGCATGTGTCAGAGGAAACTCGACCCCACGCTGCTCAATGAAAAGGAGCTGTTGGATGGCTGCCCACCTCAGCCCCAAGCATTGAAGTCAGTGTGACGCAGGACCCTCCAGGCAGTAAGGAAACTGCCTAATGCCAGATTAAGTCTCTGTGCTTATTAATTCTTTATCCATCAAAATGCACGACGTTCGGCTTAAGCTTTGAGTTGAATATTTCATTTTTTTAGAAACAGGAATCTGGTTTTAAAAATAAATGGTTGTTATTTTCAGGTGTTAGCTGGTTGACCAGTGGTGTTGTCACCTGTGTATAAATGTCACTTTGAAAGTGCAACATTGCTGTTTATTTAAGACACAGGACCTTTAGAGAACCAAAAATTACCTCGTGTGTCGGGTAATGTGACTGAGTCGTTGTTCCGATGCCTTTAGGCCACGAAAGGTCATCTCAGGCTGTTTTTAGCATTTAGGAAAGGCTATCTGCATGGTTTTCACTTTACATTTGACTGACGTGTGTTAGTCTTTGTGTTGATTTTAATGAGGAATTCATTTTTACATATTCAACCTGTACTGTGAAGAAGAGGTGTCTGGAAGTTAAAAAGCATGTGTATTTTATTCATAAACCACATTGAATTGTTGTCTAGTAGACCACAACTCATTGGAATGGCTTTAATACAGACTGCCAACAGGATTTCCTGTTGTTGCATTTGGTCCATGTGTCATATTTTCTTGAGTACACTCATACTTTGTGTCACTGATCTATCAGTTATACTATCCGGGCACTACCGCATATGAGCTCTTATCAAATTTGACATGAGGTCATTGCCAACTTTCCAGGAGAAAGAACTTTTGTGCCTCCTGCTGCCCCACTACTGAAAGAGTGCTTGACTCCTGTCTGTGTTGGCCCTCTGACCTAGACTATTATTGGCTAAGCCCTTGCTGCCAGAGTTAGTGAGTGTTTTATGAAGTTTACTTCATCACTGTATGGCACTGCTTTGAATGGATAATTACACAGAATGAGCCTTTGTACCAGTCTGACGGTGCTCTGATCTGTTCAACTATATACTATTATAATAATACGATGAAAAGAATGAATTTCTACGGTACCCAGCTATAGGCTAATTGGTTCACACAACACAGAGCCTGATTGTTACTTTCTGTAGGAATTAAATGTACTTTTAGGAAGTATGATGCGATTAAACAGTACCACGTTTAAACTTTTTTTTTGCAGGAATTAACAAAGGATGTTCCCAACAACAAATTTCCCTGTCGATTAACCAGAAATTTAAAGTGGACAAGTCTGAAAATCTGAAAATAATTATAAAACACACAAAACTGAGCACAGTTTAATGAGGTTCACAGTGTAAACAATACCATTGATTATTCAAGATTAGCAATGCTAGCACCAGCAGGCTCTCGCAGGTTAACGTCCACATGTCTGCTGATTGTGGTCATGCATTCTTCCGGTCGAGTTGTTGCATAGTTTATTCTGACATAGCCTTAAGGGTTAGGGGCCGAGTTTTTTTTGTCAGTCAGTGGTGAAATTATTTCTGGGGTGAGTGCTCCTCGCTTTCATGCCTTGAGTGAAATCAATCCACCAGTTCCAAGTTAACCTGTCTGCTTGGTGAAGATGTCTGGCAGCTGCTGACTCAGGGTGAGTCTGAGAAAGCAACTTAATATGATATAGTCTCTTGCTTTTGTTGAACAAATTTCCAATCCATCATTTGTGTAGTTAGCATGCAAGATCCTTATACTGGTACAGCCCTGGCCCACTTACAAGCTTATTCTCATTTTCTAGACAGAGAATACTGACAAACTGAGCTGGTTTTTCGACATGACATCTGCTCTACCTTCCGCTTTGCTATTTAACATCCAATCACTAGCATGGGGAGAGGGGGATTGTTGTTGATTGCTTAGATTTAAGAGTTGCACAGCACTGTACATGCTGCGGCGCTGCTTGCACCAGAGTAAAATTTGAAGTGTCCGTTTTTATTTGAGGGCATTGCAGAAATTTCAGGGTTTATTTGTATAAGGATGTTTTAAAAATGGAACTGGCCCTGGATATGAGAAAGCTTTTGGTTGCATTTAGTTCAGTCTGATAATAATCTCAGTTATCACAGAACTGTCTGATGTCCAAGCTCGGTGTAAGGTTTTGCCTTTAGATATCACTCTCTCTATTTATTTTGCTCGTTTTATATACCTTGTTAGGAGAAGTACCCTAATTTTAGGTATTGTTTGACCTTTGCCTTTGTGCTTAGTCTAGCTGGAGCTGGACTTGGGTCCCCAGTGTTTTCTTGAATAAAAAAAATACTCTTAATTTACTACTTAGGTTTCAGAAATATGTTCTCTTTGCCCTACTCATGTGACATCTCTTGTTATGGAAAGGGAACAAATGAACCGCAGTAATTACAGCTTGTTGAAAGACGTGTCCAACCTTGAGAATATGGTAACAGTTGTGAATGTCAAAGTGAAAGTCATTTGGATTCTTCATTAATAAAAAGCACTCTGTCCTTCTTCAATTCATTGCACCATCTGAAGAATGCCGAGCCCACACGTGTGCTTGTTTCTATTTTTCTGTGCTGGGGGAGGCTCAACGTTTGTGACCTGAATACCTCGGCGGGCAAGCACTTGTGTGTCCTCCAAATATGTATGCATGTCCTCCCGTGTGGTGCTGTGTATGTGTGTGTTTTTAAGCTCTTGGCCGGGTGAATCAAATATTCATGGTGGCATGGTGGGATTGGCTGCCGAGCAAAGAGCGGGCTGACAGGGAAGAGCAGGGCGCTGTGTGTTCTGAAGCGGCTCGCTCCCCCCCTCTCTCTCTGTATAAAGAGATGAGCAAGAGGAAGAGGTTACAGACGAGTGCGACAGCATCTCTGTTAGTGCTTAGCTCACACACACCTTTTACAAGAGAGACAACCGTCAGAAAGAGGGAAGTGGCTCACGTCCTAGCTGCCATTGCTTTTGCGGATGTTTTAATCTAAATGGACGAACAGAGCGAAGAGGAGACTGTGCTCACGGTAAGTCTGGTCCTGTGTGTGTCTTCATGTTTTCCTAACTGTCGTGGCGTGCAGTTGAACGGGATCCAGTGTCTCTGTGTGTGCTGTTACTGGTGTGATCATTTACTGGAGAGTGGAGTAGTGGTCTGTGCTAATGAATGGGGCAGGTGGTCAGTACATTTGACCAAAAAGGAAAAGAGGTGTGAAAGAGTCCGAAGCTGTTGCCTCATCGGACGTGCTTCTTGAAATGGAAACACATCATCTCCACTCTTGAATTGCCTCAAGGAGCAGGAATGAGAGGAAACCAACAGCGACAGTTATGGCTGCTTGAAGGAGCGGGACAAGGAGAAGAGGAGAGAGATGCGGAGTGTCGGAGACAGGAGGGTGAAAAATAGGTCTGCCAAGGCAGCTGAATTCAAACAAGCTTTTATTGACTGAAGGGGAATTGAATCAAATGCTT